AAAAATCCTGACAATTAAAAATTCTGATGAAAACTAAGCTAACCCTAGCCAACTCTAAAGTTAATTAAATTATAAGAAGCTACTTAGCTTTAAACATACACCATATTCTGGATTTTCTACTTGAAAATTTTGACTGTCAGGTTGTCAGGATTTTGACTATCTGGATTTTTTTGTTAGGATTATGACCTATCAGGATTGTGTTTGTCAGGATTTTGATTAGCATCCGTTCGACACATAATATGCAGTTAAGATTGAGTTTGTATTAAAATTATTGTGATTTATTTGTGAAAAAATTTTCATACAAAGTGGGTGAATTGCAAAAATACCATTCTTGATGGATTGTCAATACTGTTTTTGATAGGTAGCAAAAAAAAAAAAATCTATATACCATTCTTGATAGGGTTCTAAAAAAGGACTTCTAAAATACTATACTACTATAGTAAAAAAAAATTAGGATTAGAGTTCATTTTTAGAACCTTATCAAGAACAGTACCTAAATAAAATTTTTTATTAACCCTATCAAGTTCAGTACTGCTAATCCATTAAGAATAGTATTTTTGTAGGTAAATTAGTTTATATTAGAATTATTATAGTTTATATTATGAGTTACTATAAAAAATTTTGTAGCAAACTTTACTATTCTGGTGATATATATAATGTTATCAATTAAATATCTACAAAGTTCGTATAATGAATGAAAGTTAGTAAATAGGATGTGTATAGTATGTATTCATGTTTTAATTTTCATGTATTGATTATTAATTCACAGATCGATTATGGAATTATAATGATCCTATATGATATTAATTATATAAATGATCAAAATATTGCAAAAATTATGATAGTATAATTCTTACAAAGTTAGCTAATTCATCACAACTAATCAAATTTCATTGAGGGTACATCAGCATGACCAAGTATTATTTTTTATATTCAGATATGCACATACATGCAAAATCAATCAATCATTTTGAAAAAAGGGTAGATGTGTATAAATGGCCATTATTTTATAATATTTGGATATATACATATATAAACCCTACCAAATATACAATTCTCATACCAAATACTATACACAATCTTCACAATTTAACTACTCACTTTTTAAACTTTCTTTTCAAACTTTATCTGCTTCTAAATATATTTACTCAACCATTAATAACTATATTTTTTATCCAACCAACCTTATACTGCTACTTTTTTTATTGCCTTTTTTTTTAAAAATCTCTATGAACTCACTAAACAAGCATAACAAAATTTATTATACTTAACCAAAAACTTATCAAATTCAAAAAGTTAAAACTTTCTGAATCAAATTTTACAACTCAAAGCTTTAAATAGATTTCTTTCTTTTTCTATAGTTATTTTAAAGCATACTTAAAACAGTTGCAACTAATAATTAAATCATAGACTTTAACCTTAAGGAAGCACTCAACAAATTCTTTTTAATATCTATAGATCTACAAACCTTAGTCAGAATTATTGTCTACTACAATATTATACAAATCTTCAAACCAACTATTGAAAATTTTATAATCAAAAGTTTAAGATCTCTGTTTCTATAATATCATATATAGACTTTATTGCTAAAAATTCTAATACTCAACAACAACAACAAACAATTAGCTCTATGACTAAATCTAAAACTTCTAAATTAACAAACAACAACAGCAACATTCTAATAACTCTACTACAAAATTTAAATTTTCTAAAATTGATAAAAGCTCTTTTTAATTTAAAACTTATTTTATATCTTATACTTAGAAATTGTAGCACAGCAGTTACAGGCATATCATTATGACATACCAATAGTAGTATGCTATGGAGTATGCCAAAATCCAAAATAGTTATAAGACATACCACTTATAGTATATCAAGTATCATATATATGTATATATGTATATATATATTCTTTTACTTACTTTAAATAATTTACAAAAAATGATTATTATTGTAATGATAAAAACTAGAACTAACTAGAGTAAGCTAAATTTAAATTCTTTTTATATTCTTATATATTTTAAAATTACAGATCTTACAATCTTTCAAATTATCTTGTGCTCTTGATCTAGATCTTACCTTCTGAGATAAAATCAGTAGATTTACAAACTTATAATTATGTAATATTTATGAAACTTATTACAATTTTATATTAAAATAAAAATTCATATTTAGGGTTTAACACTTTTATATACTCTTTATCATGTTGTCAACTACAGCAAGTAAATTATTACTGAATCCAAATGTTAATATCTAATACAAGTTTAAGAAGTATTTGAGTATTTATGTAATATATTCTTTTTAAAAAGTAAAAACTTTAATATCACCATTATGACTATATTATATAGCAATATGTTTTTATTTTAGCAGACCTTATAAAAATGTTAATCTGTATTTATTATTTCATAAATATTTCATTTTTATAAAATTTATAATCTTAAATCATGAAAATTTTTATTTTACTAATACAGATATCTGTAAATATATCATTTTTATAAAATTTTTATAGAGGTCACAGAAAAATAATAGAAATATTCAGATAAACTTTTTTATAAAAAGAAAATATTTATTTTTTTTATTTTTTTTTTATATACACTAATTTTGTTAGGGTAGTATAAAATGAAAAAAAGCTTTATATACTAAACTTTTATAAAATTTTTTATAATTTAAAGATATTGTCAATTGACTAATCTTCATTAATACCAGTTGGTATTTGAGAATAAATAATTGAATTTTTTTCAATTGTTTTCTCCCAATTTTGTTCATATTTGAATTTTAAAAAGATTTTCTATTGTTAGTTTATTTTCCATATCTATATCCTCTGCTTCTGCACTAATCTGCAAAGGCTCTTTATCAAATTCTTTCTCAAGGTAAAAGTTAATATTGGTGTCTTCAATATCAATTATTAAAGAATTATTAAGCAAATCTTGACTATTTACTTTAGGTTCTTTTTTTAATATTTTTAGTTGATCTTGTTGAGGTCTTAACAAAGTATTACAAGTATTTCTGTTATAACAGAAGATAACTTATTGCGTAGTTTAGTTCTTACCAACTCCAAGCTAGAAAATAAATATTCAATAGCTGCAGTATATAAAACAATCGCAAATATTTTTATAGCAAAATGTCAGAGAATAGGAGAACTTCTAGTGAACTTAGTTCAAAAAGTTCTAGAATTAGTATTTTTAGTAGATTTTATATTATCAAAAGGGTATTACTGTTTTTATAGCTAACAAGTTCTTTAAACAGAAGTATTATTTCTCTTTTATTGAAATTTCTAACCTTTGCCAGCTCCAAAGATGCCCTAATGATTGAATCTTCTAACATTTGTCTTGAAATTGCAATTTGTTTATAATGTGATAATAAAAAAAATGCAACAAAAAAATATTGTTTGTCAATAGCTGCCAAGATATAGTTTTTGAATCTGTCAATTTAAATAATAGTTATAAAAATAGCATAATAGATATTTAGTAGTTCTTTAAAGATATCAGTTAATATAGAATCTTTTAATTCAAAGCAGCCAATAGCATCTATAATAGGAATAAGAACTTTTATCAGTATATATTATTTGCAAAATGGTGGTGATTAGTAACTATGTTTTGAATTTTCATTTTAATTGATGGATAGTTGTCAGTTTCACTAAGCTTAATATAATGATAAAATCTTTTTTCAAAGAATTTTACTTTCAAGCAAATTTTTGCAAGAGAATACCAACTAGTCTTACAAAATGTTGTGAGTGAATAGCTTATTCCTTCTTTTTTTACTATTTTTGTAGTGTCTGATGCCAAATATAAGAAGATGTGAAAAAATTAACAAGCTTTTGGTTGTCTTTAATAACTAAACATAAAGGTAAAAAAGCAGAAATATCTTTGGCAAATAAATTGAAGATGTAAAGACAACAGCAGATAGAAATAATATATATATATATTTTTTTTTTTTTTTTTACTATTAAGGCTGATGTTACGGGGCTACTGCCTTTATTTGTGTTTTAGTTAATGCATTAC